CAACATGGCTGCCATACAAGGTTTTGTGAAGCTCTCGAATAACTCCAGCTCTGTACGGTGCCTTCATATATCAGCTATATTATCTCAAATAAGAATTCTCAGGAGACCAGTTTGCACTTCAAGTGACTACAATCCCCTATTTGAACAAGATTCTTTGCCGAAATTCAAGAAGATCGAATCGACACACGTTGCTCCTGCTATACAATCATTAACTCAAGAATATACCAAAAACTTTAAAACTTTTGAGTCACAAATTCAAGGTGAGGAAATACAAATRWACTAGCTGTTTCATATTGYAAGTAAAGTGCTGCGAGTAGGCATRMAGGGACTCTGGGTATTTATGGTTGCCTTACATGTATATTGATTTTATCTTTTTATCTCTATTTTAATTTATAAAATAATTCAGATAGTACGCGTGCTGTGATTGGCCGAGAGCCGTGTTTGCATTTCTCTGTGCAAACACGGTTGTGACGCGTGTCGACACCGGCGGGAAAATTTGAGTTTTGTTTGGAAGTTGTACTTGTACACAAATAGTCATAACTCCAGTAAAATTAGAAGAATATGGCCAATTTTCCAAGCTTAGACTTTGACTTTCCTGAGGAAGCATCTGAAATAGTAGAACCACCAGAAGAGCCTTCAACAAAAAAGAAAAAAATCCAGATTTGCCAGCCTGAACTCGGAGAATTTCGAYGAACTCTTTCGACAACACCGACGGAAATCAAGCTTGAATTTAGCGAGTTCTAGYTCTCAAAATATTGTTTTCTTTTCGRTCTAGAATGACTAAAGCCATTGGTTAAGCTTTGGAATTATTATTTTATCAAGATTTGCTTGTAAAAGCCTCTTTCTCAACGGAGAAAGTTGCTAAAGTTTGGCTTCTTCTCGCTTTGAAATAAGAAATTTTCAACTTGAATTTCATGCTTGGAGGCCTGTATAAAACTCGCAATTTGATTGGTTAAGGGTCTTCTTTCTGCGCAATCTGATTGGTTATTGCAAATGCACAAGTATGTAAGGAGAATTTGTATTTAAAACTTTGAACTAAATYCTTCTGTTTTATTTGATCATGTTTCGTTATTTTTGTTTTTGAAGAAAATAATTTTATAARACAAATAAAATACATTTACTGTGTTTGCACAGGCTAATGCAAACCTCGATKTGGTTGGGAGAATTCTCAAGCAGGTACAAACACTCGCCTATGGCTCGTGYTTGCACTGATTTGCTCTCGAATTCTCCCAACCACATCTCGGTTTGCATTAGCGTGTGCAAACACAGTAAATGTATTTTATTTGTTTACTTTTATTTAGAAAAAAGCCTCACAGAAAARAAGAGTAATACTGTAATTACTATACATTTCCTCAGGAAAGTTAGAAGAAGATGTAAACTGGCAATCAGTGATAGAACCAATAGAGAGGTTGAACAGTGAACTGGAATATGCTTGGAGTATTGTGACACATCTGAATGGTGTTAAGAATAGTGAAGATTTAAGAAATGCATATCAAAAGGTAAGTTGATGTCCAGTCTATGAATATTAGGCATCAGAAAAATGAGTATGGATATATGTAATAAGACCTTTGCATTATACTTTTATTTACTACCATAACCAGAATCCCTTGCACACTTTGTTCTATCACAGGGAGCCCAATTTAGATAAAAGTGATAGGTGAATTTATAATAGTCATAATTTAAACCAGTGAATTCTCACTTTCTTAATATTATTGTCTTATACGCACTATGTGTATTTTAGCCTTTAAAAAAAACTAGTTTCGTTGTTACAACCTCTTCAAACTGGAAATTTTTTAAGGCTAAAAAATTGATAAAAAATGCACTAGAACATTAATATTGGGCYCACACCTTTATTTTCCTATATAATTCCCCTATGGTATGTAATGACTGATATGTATAAATACAGTGCTCTTACCTAAGCGAGAAAAGTACATTTGCTATCTTTGAAAACACAACACACTTTCAACTTCGATTTCACCATCCTTTAAACTTCAAACTCCACAAAAACCTTGACCAAAAATGATCCATACAATAGGGGAATCATTTAACTCTTTTGGCTCTTCTAGGATTCTAGATTCTAGATTCTAGATTTCTAAGACCAAAATGTGCAGAAAATCTTTGCTTGCAGAAAATTTTAAAATCTTATGTCAATGTTACTCCTTGAGCAGGGCTTGGACAAGAACAAATTTTATTTCAACCCTACTACTCTCCCGCTCAGGAATTTTGTAACGTGTATACAACCCACCACCAGCCACCCCACAGGGCTAGTTTTGTTCTTGAAAAATTCCTCCACGAAGTTCTCCATGGTTGACAATTTTTATGCTCTTTTGGTTGCTTTTACTTGAAATTAATTATTCTGATTTTATTTTCACCTATCACTTTTGTCTAAATTGGGCTCCCTGTGGTTCTTTGGTTCTATTTAGTTCACTGGTAGCAATGGAGGGTAATATCTTGCAAAGCATTAATTATGGCAGTGATAATTAATTGGTTCCACTATGCAGTTAAAATATTGGTATAAGCTAGAAAATCGTGTATTACATTTTATTTGAAATTCTTGATATTGGGTTTTAACAAATGTATTTCGTAGCGGGTGTAGCATATATTACATTTTATGGATGGATGTTGCTTAGTGGCCTCTTAGCAAAATAATGCTGGTTCCAGTATATATATGACTAATATTTTGCTTTTTATTAGGTTCAGCCTCTAGTAGTTAAATCATCTACCTTAGTTTCACAAAGTAAACCATTTTATTCAGCTTTAGAGGTGAGAAACTTTTGATCAGTTTCATTATCATAGTTTGTTGTTTAACAATCTGGTATTCCTGCAAACTAGACCACACTCAGAAATCGAAAATACTGCCCAGTCCAACAGCCAATCAGGTCACACGATTTTTAGTATCGGACTGGTAAACAATGTTGACATAAATTATTATCAACCATATACATGTACTACATGTATGTGCCAGAAGACCAGAAGAGAAAGAGATAATAGCTGAACGATGCTTTCCCATGTGGAARCATTGCTATGCAAGACAAATAAAGGCAAATTTAAAATATGTTTCTGCACTTCTGTAGCTACTAATATATTAATTACTATACGACCTTTTGCATATAATTTATGTCTGTTTCTTGATTTGACGAAATCAATGTAAATTCCCATAAGGCAAATTGGAATACATTCAGAAAATGGACACCTTAGCAATAGTGGATACGGCATATGCACAGTAGTCACAAAGATCTAAACTTTTAGGAGTTTCCAGATCAGATGTGTGCATTTAATTAGCACAGATTAGGGAAAACTGACAGCCAATCAACCAATCAGGAACAGGTTTTTTGGAGATATGTTCTTAGTTCATATGAAATATTTGGATTAGTTAATTAATGTTTTTTTTTTGTTTTGTTTTTTGTTTGTTTTGTTTTCTAGAAATTAAATAACAAATCATCAGAGTTGGATGAAGCTCAACAGAGAATCATCACGTCATTTCTAAGAGCATCAAGAAATGGTGGGGTAGGACTGCAAGGGAAGGAGAAAGAAAGATTCAATGAAATCAAAATCAGATTAGCTGAACTTGGAACTAAATTTAGGTAAGAATAGTTGTTCAATATTGTGAGTAAAGTGCTGCGAGTAGGGCATGAAGTGATATCTGATTTGGGTGTTTATGTTTAATGCACATTAATTGAACTATTATACAGTGTAATAAACACAATAAAACTATAAATAAGAATTTAAACAATTACRATAGAAAAAGAAAGTCGCTTATGTATTTAAAATTAACTCAAGGATATGCGAAGCATAGAAACAAGTGTGAATATTTACAATGTAAATGTGTCAATCGCTCACTGAGATGTTAGCAGATCAATAATTAAACATTTATCAATCGTCTTACATCATCTGCTTAATATGAACGTTACACGAAACGTTGTCAGACTAAAAACACGAACAAACTTCTTATCCAATAAAGGGTTGGATCAGCTATTCGTATGAGGACATGGAATCTCACTGTTCGATGTGGGATGATGTCTAGCACTGAGCATGCCCACACTTGCAAATAGCTTTACTTTGGATTATTTTATGGAAAGAATCAAGGAAAGATTGATGCAGGTTGCATCAGATAAAATAAAATAGACTCCTAAACTAGAGGAGAATACTATAAAATGATCCTTGAGAACAAAATAATCTAATAATTCTTTTACGGCATTTACTGTAAGATCATTCGGATTTAGGTAGAATAAAATAAAATGTCAGTCATCATACAGACTTGAATAACATTTCTAAACAAATTTTCATAGAACTGATTCATTTATTTCACAGCGTAAGTAAATATTTTCAGATGACCATGTTTTATCAACTGTGTGGAGTGTGAGTATTACACAAGGTAGTTGTCCATGTGGGTGGTTTCCCAGTAGACGCTGGTAGTTAATTGGCCATTGGGTTATCCTTCTACAAATGACCCTCAATCGTGAAACAAATGAATAAGTATCATTTATTACAATTTCCACAATGAATAATATTTTTCATTCTTGGCCTATTGACTGAACTAAATTTTTGTTCTTATTTTTGTTTCTTTTTTTCATTTGAACATTTCTTTGTTTGTTGCAGCAATAATGTACTAGATGCAGTAAAACAGTTCTCTATTATAGTTACTGACTGGGAAGACATGCAGGGATTACCTGAATCTCTCTTACAGCTAACAGCAATGGCAGCAGCAGTAGATCAGCAGAAGAGAACCAGGTACACAACACAATAAACTGCCTATTGTACTGTATATTTGTGATGGAAATTGGACCTTTTTCTCTATTCCATATAATGTACTTGTAGTATATATTGAGTGTACATYATTTAGACTTCATTTTTCACGAWAGAGTACAAGCAATAAAAGCTTGTAATACTTTGTACTATTTAGCACTAAATATCACTAATTAAACAATAGAACTTTTACAATAACTTTTACAATTAAACAATAACTTTTTAAGAAAAAGTGCCTCATTATTCAAATTTTGCATTCACAGACTTGTCAGACACTATGTAATTTTGTTCTTTCTCTGACCCCCCTCCCCTCCATTATTTATAATTCCCTCTGTGGTGGGTATGGATATTTTCTGGAACTGCACAATCCCCCAGAAGGATATAGCCTTAATCTAGACRAATTGTTTTTATAGTAGGTCACTTTTCCTCTTGTTTTTATTAATATTAATAATAAATGTTTTTCAGTGATGTGGACCCCAAGAAAGGACCCTGGAAGTTGACTCTTGACATCCCTTGCTTTCAGCCATTYATGCAGTACAGGTATATATAATATTGTGTGTTGTGTGTTACATATATGTAATATGGGAATGAGGCCTAGTGTTTGTTCTTGAAAGGGAATCTGATTGTACCTACGAAGTGATAAAGTTAAAAAAGGGATTGTTATACAAGTGAGGAAAAGGTTAATTTCTGGCAATTGAATTCAATTATTAATAAATGAGAAAAATTTTCAGTACTGTACATGTAAATTAAAGTTAATTGAGCATCAAGTTCTTTTCTGTGAAAGTATGTGTAGCAGACAATACGTTGTGCCAGATCATTAGAAGAAATCACCTAGTTTGTTAACCAATAACAGATAACTTACTGTTCCTGAGCCTTAAAATTGCACGGGCCTCAAAAACAAGATCAACTACAATACATGACTGTGGAGATACACTTTCAGGGCTTTCAATAATATTTGAAGTAGATGGATGAAACTCAAAAGTACACGTCTGTTTCCACAAATTTTACTTCTTATTTATTAAGACTGATTCGCAAAATAGCCGGCGGTATGAAGGTAAGTACCCGGCGATAAACCGCCGGTAGCCGCCTTCTATTGAAACCCCAAAAACTGGTTTAACAGGATTTTCAAAACCTGTATCAAAACAATGCGCACTACCTTTTATTAATTGTAAACTAATGAAAACCTTTTGGGAACAAGAGAAATGACACACTTCAGTGATAAACTCAAAACTCCTCTGTTAGCCATCTTGTTGGCAATAAATTTAGGCACCGCCTGAAAGCAGAGCTTCCCAGTAAAGTATTTTCAACCAATCAAGTTGTTTTTTCCTGGCTTGAAGCACAGGCAGCCCAAACAAGATTCCTGTGTATGGTTTATAAGGAAATGTATGGGAGTTATGATGAAGTTATGAAAAAAGATGTTTTACTCAACAGTTTGCTATAAAACTTGCTGCATTCATTGCTTGTGACACATCTAATTTCCCTGTACTTGCTGCCCATTTCTTATTGGTTAGATTGTACAGACTTGTGCTTCATATATATGTATAATTTCCCTCTTAACAATCGTCCCTTTTGCTTGTGGTCACACAAGAAACTTGTGCCTCCACAAATCTCAATCTTAACCCCCAACACTTCTGGAACTATAAGGCAATCTTCATCCTTTGCTGTTTTGAAAAAGAAACCATACAATATGTATTTTCTCAAAATGGACACTGAGTTTGACAGGAATTAGGTCCATAGCTGGAAAACTCTGCGCACTCTGCAAAACCTTAAGGCAGGATTGCTGTTTGCTATAAGCTTTTCTAATGAATTTAATGTTGTCTAGTAATTATACTGTTATTGTAAGTGAAGTGTGGGGGCCCCCCTCACAGGGACCTCAAGTCCGCCCACCTGCCCTTCATCACGCTTGTTTGCTTAACATATTTCATTTTTTCTCCTTTGTTGTTACAACTCAAGCACGATAGAAGCCTCTGAATAAAATATCATATGAGTAGATTTATTCCTTGATGATTCAGTCCTGCGCTATAAGAGTTTTGTCATTCAGCTTGATGTACTTCATTTCTTATCTCTAAGTAAAAATAAAAAATAATCTTTTGAGGGTCCTTGTGAAATCTGGTAGATTTTATGTACAACATTCACGATGAAAAATGATTCTTAGCATAAAGCTTATCAGTCCTACATATTATTTGATTTCAGTGAAAATAGGGAGCTGAGAAAACG